ACAACAGGAAGGGGAATGTCACCCACCTCTGGCAATCCTGTGGACCATAGTGGCACATCCAAAACCTGGGGACATGACTCAAGCTGGACCAATCATAGTCCTTCCCTGGGAGTTACATGTACTGAGACAAAAGAAAGACAATCTCTCTGGTCTTGGGAATTTCTAAATGTGTCTGAAGGAGCCGGGGTGTGTCTCCCACCTGTGAAGGAAGCTTCTCTGTGGGAGGAGGGAACAGGAACATCAAACAGAGAAGGAGAGGTGCAAGAGGGGAAGGGGGGAAGGAAGGAAGGAAAGAAGGAAGGAAGGGATGGAGGGAGGGAGGAAAGAAAAAGAAGAGGGAAGGAGGAAGGAAGGAAAAGGGAGGTAGGGAAGGAAGGAAAGAAGGAAGGAGGGAGGGAGAGAGAGAATGAAGGAGGGAGGGAGGGAAGAGGGAAGGAGGGAGGGAGGGAAAGTGGGACAAAGGGAAGGGAAGGGAAGAAGGAAAGGGAAGGAGGGAGAAAGGGAGGGGAAGGGAGAGAAAGGGAGGAAAGAAAGGAAAGAAGGAGGGAGGGAGGGAAGAAAGGAGGAGAGAGGGACCTGAAGACACTGTTTGAGTCTCTGAACCAGTTAAACTACAGACCAGCTCCATTACTGTCCTGTCACATGAGCCAAAAAAGCCCACCCTCTCCTCTTAACCTAGTTTCAACTGAGTTTCAGTTACCCGCAAACAAAATAATTCTGCGAAACAGAACCAGCTCTCAGAACCTGACCCACAGGAATTGGCCCAGTCACACCCCACTTCACACCACACTCCACCCCCGCTCCTGGCCTGCCCTGTCAGCTTCCTCCCTGAGCAGTTTCATTGAGGTGATTTCCTGGGAACTGCAGCAGCATGCTCCCCCATGGGTGGGGGCGCCCTGACTCCAGGGGCCAGGAGGGGAGGCGCTGGAACTCTGCCCCACAGTGCAGTTCCAATGGAGTGGGACCTCGAAGCCAGGTCCCCATCACGGGGCATCCCGCCTGTGCAATGCGCTCACCTCTCAGTCCTCAGAGCACCAGCAGGGGTCTGTTGGACAAAGCCACACCGAGCATCTCACCAGAATAAGCATGATTCGCAGAAACAGTGTTGCTAGAGCCTCTAAGCCGAAATTGGAGTTTCTTCACTGTTGAATTCTCAAGGTTCCCTCTCTCCCAGATATCCGGTCAATCACATCATTCCGCAGAGCAATATTTACTTCCTCTCCTTCAACTTTCACGGCGCAGCTCCTTCTAATTTGTGTCTCTTTAGAAACTGGGCCCAAGGAAAGGGCTGATGTCCTGGGGTCACTCTCTGAACAGCGCTTCCTCAAATGTACCAAAAGTAGCTTTAACACTTCCACCTGGATTCTTAGAAAGGCCCTTTTCTCTCCATTTTCATCTGAAGAAAAGAGGGGGTAGCTTATTTTCGCAGTTCCGTGATTTCTAATAGGGCCACAATATTCCTTTGAGTGAACTGCCTTCATTCACTCAACTATCTATCTATTACTGGACATTGGGTAACGTTCAATTTTTTTTTTTTTTTTTTTTTTTCTGAGACGGAGTCGAACTCTGTTGGCCAGGCTGTAGTGCAATGGTGCCACCTCAGCTCACTGCAACCTCTACCTCCCAGGTTCAAGCAATTCTCCTGCCTCAACCTCCCTAGTAGCTAGGATTACAGGCACGCGCCACCATGCTCAGCTAATTTTTGTATTTTTAATAGAGATGGGGTTTCACCATGTTGGCCAGGCTGGTCTTGAACTCCTGACCTTAAGTGATCCGCCCACCTCAGCCTCCCAAAGTGCTGTGATTACAGGCGTGGGCCACCAGGGTCAGCCAAATGTTCAATTTTTAACCTTTAAAAATAACACTATGATGAACACGTTTGAGTATAAATATTTTCCTAGGCTTAGCTTATTCCCAAAAATAGATTTACCAAGGCAATGGGGAGGAATTTTAGTACATACTGTCTTGGGATACAAAAAAAAAAAAAAAAAAAAAAAAAAAAAAAAAAAAAAAAAAAAAAAAAAAAAAATACCAAAAAAAAAAAAAAAAAAAAATCTGAAACACAAAATAATCCAAAGATGACAACAAGAGTTCCTATTGAAAAGAAAATAAAAAGGAAATAGGTGGAGTATTCAGTGTCTCAAAGAAAACAATAGTAGGCAAGGCAAAGAGCAGGGAAGTGAGGTACCCGCTATTCTGCTGCACTGATGCGAGATCTTCTATAAGCAAAATAGCTCAGGCAGATAAGTGTGTGGCTTTCCTTTCTTCATGGCAAATGCTTCTGTTTGTATTGACAAAGAAATCGAATTGAATACCACAAGCCAGATAGCTTTTCTCTCAGCCTTGTTTTTTAAAATACAAGTTTCGTATGCGGTTAACATGTGCTTTTACTTCTGAGGTTCTGGAATGATCACCTCTTCCTGTTTCCTACAGTACCTCTAGCCTGCTGCAGCCTTCCTCAGAGGGACAAGGGTGGCAGCCTCTTTGCTGGGCTCCCTGCCTTCAGTCTACCCTCAGTTGAATCTATGGACCACTGTACACCCAAACCCATTCTCTTCAATGTCTATTTCAGTATTGCACATCTCTGAATGCAAACGTATCACAGAGCTACTTAAGTCCCTTTTCCAGGTGTTTTCAGTGGCCGGGAGGCAGATGCGGAGTGAGCAGGAAGCTGATGTCTTCGTTGGGATTCCTACAAAAGCCACCTGTGACACAAGGCTTGGGGAGCAGTCGTTTCTTTGGAAGGAGATCCCACGGAGCACTACGAGAGAGTGGAGAAGGGGCAGAGAGAGGAGAAAAGGCAGTGAAGTGTACATTTCTGAGCAGGTCACTGTGGGCCACTCGGGCACAAGCCCACGGGCATCACTGAGAGGCTCGGTGGGACGCACCTCAGAGTTGTCACACTGAGTTGGGAGGCTGCGCGTTTAGCTGTCAAGTCCCATCCATTATTGCTTGTGGGCTGCTCCTGGCCACCTTCTGGCCTGTGTCACCTGTGGCCAGGTGTTCTCAGGTGGAGGGGCTACAGAAGAGTGCAAGAATCCTCTACAGAAGACCCTGGCTAGGCTAGGGCATACAGGCCAGCTCTGACGGCTGCTCCACGGTTGGATCTGTGTGTGTGTGTGTATTCACACACACATGCACATATATATCCACACATGTATATGCATATGAATTTTTTTTTTTAGATGGAGTCTCTGTTGCACAGGCTGAAGTGCAGTGGCATGATCTTGGCTCACTGCAACCTCCACCTCCCAGGTTCAAGTGATTCTTGTGCCTCAGTTTCCTGAGTAGCTGGGATTATAGCCACCTGTCACCACACCCAGCTAATTTTTGTATTTTTAGTAGAGACAGGGTTTTACCATGTTAGCCAGGCTGGTCTCCAACTCTTGACCTCAAGTGCTCTGCCTGCCTCAGCCTCCTAAACTGCTGAGATTACAGGCGTGAGCCACAGTGCCTGGCCTTACGCATATGATTTTTAAAACAAAAATAAGATCTTACTCTGCTGACTGATATTTTTGACTCAACTCTGTTGGACAACTTTCCACATCAACAGAGATATTCTATTCCCACATTATCCATGGCTGAACAGTATTCTATTGGGAGGATGCATCCCCATCAGACATATGTTTGTTTGTTTTAGAGACTAGGTCTCACTCTGCTGCCCAGGCTGGAGTGCAGTGACATGATCATAGCTCACAGCATCTCAAACTCCTGGGCTCAAGTGATCCTCTTGCCTCAGCCTCCTGAGTAGCTGGGACTATAGGCACAAGCCACTGCACCTGACCCCTGTCAGACATTTGTCATTTCTAACTTTGGTTGACATGACAAAGGTGGACAAGAAGCATCTGCCTGAAACACAGCTGGCCACATCGCTCGGCATTTCCCTCCTGCTTGAAACCCACCGACAGCTCTCCATTACCCACAGGGCCAAGCTTCAATTTCAGACCTTGGCATTCAAGTGTGACCTGTCCCTGGGCCTCTGCTCCCTGCTCAGCTCCTCTTCCACAGTCAGTTTGACCCACTGGGTCATCAGGTCCTATCCATTCATACAGCTGGGTCTTGGCTTGGGCTGTGTCCCCAGCCTGACAGCACCTGTCTTCCCATGCTGCTTGGCCCCAACAAGGACTGCCTTCCTTGGAACCCCATCCCTCCGCGATCAAGTCCTCTCTTTTTCACGATCCCTGGCTCGTAGTCTTACCTTTCTGCTCTCTTTTCATGGATACATTTTCACTTCCCAACAATGCTGGGACCAGTGACCACACTGCTTATGTCTCCAGCATTCAGATGGCACCTTGCACATGCAGATGCTTCCTTGGTCAAGGTTGGTTGGCGATGAGCAAAGTGGGTGGTTCTCTTTCTACCTGGATTGAGAGGGGAGGCGGAGAGAGGCACCTCTGTGTTCCACTCACTGGGGGGCTGTGACCCCAGTGCCTGGATCTCAGCCTGTTGATGGCTATTGAAGACATAAGACCCATGGGGACAGGAAAGCACTGCTCAAGCCTCCCTCCCCTAGAGACAGGGGCCAGGGTGCAAAGGGGGAGGCAGGAACCGTCTTCCGGGTTCTAACTCCAGGACTGCCAGGAGGGGAGCTGACATGGAGAGTGGGGGAAGATCGACTCGAAGTGCTAATCCCAGTTTCCCGTCTGGATTTTCCTTGACTGCTGCCGGGGCCCTATCTTAGGATGCTCACAGCTGCAGAAATAGATCTCCCCTTTCACCTGTTCTTAAGCAAGGAAGACCTTGCTAACTTCCTGTGAAAAGAATGCGTGCTTCGGTAACTTTTCCAGTATGGGAGACAGTACTGGGACACGGTGCTGAAGTCACCACGAGTTTCCTTGTCTGAGGAGCAGTGGCTCACCTTGGCCAGGAAACAGGGGGCAAACAGCTGCAAGGAGAGAGGCCAGAAGCTGGCCACGTGTTTCCAGCCAGAGCCCCCAGCCAATTCCGTGAATTCTGGCGATGTTTCCTTCCTTGGTCTGCTCCAAAAACCACTCTTTGCTGGCAGGAAGCCCCTCTCTCTGATAGAGTGACAGGGAGCATATCCTCTGCTGACCCCCAGCCTCCTCCTACAAAAGTCTCTGTTTCTCTTGAACTCATCAGCTGAGTCAATCCGGCTCTGGGACCCGAAAACCAAGCCTCCCCAGCCACTGGCTTATTCACTCAACAAACATGACACGCCTCCCTCCCCCGCACCAACCCAGCCCCAGTTCTGGGGACTGGCAAGATTCAGGGAGGGAAGCCCGGAGCAGCGCGGCGGGAGGGGGACATCCCCGGGAGGAGATGGGCCTCCTGGTGGCGGGGTAGGGCTCCTGGGGACCCCAGGTCCGCGATGGAGGTAAGAGGAGGGAATAGGGAGATGGAGCACCCAGGAGCACGGGGCGGGAGGAGGGGGAGGGGAGGCTCCACGCATGCGTGGGAAGAGACCTTTGCGTCCTCGGCGTCGCTAAGGCAACCGACGCCAGCCATGGCCTCTGGGGCGGGCAGGAGCTGGGGTCGCTCCCCACCGCAGAGCGCAGCCGCGACGGTGAGGGTTGAGCCCGGGAGCAGATCCTGCCTTAGCTTGGGGCACGACAGAGTGGGGAGCGGTCCCTGGAGGGGCCAGATCCTGGAAAGGAAGAGCGTGGGCACAGGGCTAGGAGAGAAACCCCCAAACCAAGAGGAAGAGGCGTGGCAGGGAGCTGGCAGGCCACGGGGCGGGAGAGGAGAACTCGGCCCCTGCGGGGTTAGGGAGGCCACTGGCCGGGAGGGTTTGGGCTCGCAACGTGTCCCCATCCATTCTCTCCACCCTGCCTGGCTGACTCCGCGCACGCCCCCAGCCCTGGGTCACCGTCCTGCAGCCCCTCTCATGGGCCGTCCCACCTGCGCCCCTGCAGCCAGGCCGTGTGAAGGAAGGTGAGACTCCCGCGTCCCCCCGCCCCCCTCTACACCACCACCATCACCACCACTCATCCCCTTCTGCCTCACACATTCTCTGGGAGTCCCTGCAGCACAACCCGCCCATCCATTCTGCGCTCCTGGGGACAGGGGTGTCAGGGGGCGGGGGACCCGGAGGCGCCCGGCCTGGGCTTGCTGAACTCGCTTCCTAGACCTGCTGGAGCTGATGATGCTGCAGAACGCGCAGATGCACCAGCTGCTGCTGAGTCGCCTGGTGGCCGGGGCGCTGCAGCCCGGGCCCGCCTCGCCCTGCCCTCAGGTGTGTGTGGGTGGGCCACCGGGGTCACTCACCTGCGGGTCCAGGGATGGGGATCCAGCTGGGGTTCCTGTTCAGGGGGAAGAACTGGGAGACAGAGGAGCAGGAAGCCAGTCTGTCTCTCTGGCTGGGGCTGCTTGGCAACTGTTATGTATCAGGCCTGTTTCAGTATCCATGAAAGGTGGGTGGTGGGGGGAAGAGACCCCCCCAAAGTCCAGAACACCCAGGTCTTGTTTTCAAGGAGGTTTCCCTGGAGTGCCCCCCCTCCCTGACACTGGACTTGAGGCTCCAGGAGGGCAGGCACCCTGGTAACCCTGCCCGCATTTATCATGTGCACCTGGCCTGGTGCCTGCCACTGTGGAGGGGCTTAGCTGATATTTGTTGAACAAGTGAATGAATAAATGAATGGTTAGGAATACAAGGCCAGGTTGGCTGTGATGGCACATGGACAGGTACAAAGCACAAGTGCGCACCGGGTTGGGGGTTGAGGACAGGCTCCTTGGAGGAGCAGGGGAACTTAGAACCAGCCCTTGAAAGCCAGGTAGGATTTTGACCCTTGGAGGAGGCAAGGGGTGTGTACCCCATCCAGGCTGGCAGGGGCAGAGTCAGGAGACAGAATGGGGGGAAACGTGTGTGGCTGTGTGTGCAAGTATGTGTGTGCGGATTGCATGTGCAAGTGTGTGTGTGTGCAAGTGGGTGTGCGTGCGTGTGTGCATATAGCTCTAAGGCTGAGCTTTACTCAGCCAACAATGAGCATCCTGAAATTGGGAGAAGCAGGGACTGGGTGGAGAGAGGATGCTAGTCAGCTCAGAGGAGGCGGAGAGGGGTTCAAGGAATCCAGGCAGGGGGAGACCCTGAGGAACTACTGCCATCCCTCACCCCTGGGCTCTCAGTGATGACACATACATAGGTGGGTCCAGGGGCTGGGGATGAGGCCGGGGACAGCTCAGTGGACTACTGGCCCGAGCTCTGGGTTCACACCTGGAATCTTCCAGTCCCTGCTATGCCTTAGGAGCTGGGTGGCCTTAGACAAGTTGCTCAACCTCTTTGAGCTTCAGATTTCCCATCTACATTGTAAGGAGTAAATGTCTCCAAAATGCCTTGCCCGCATGTAGTAAATGCTCAGTAAACACAAGCCATTTTTACAAAGCATATCTAGAGGGAATAACTCAGGGGAATGGAGGAGTCCTGGATTCTCATTTCCCCTCCCTGTTTTGCACAATCCCCAGGTCTACCTGGAGGTTCCGCAGGAAGAGCCTGAGGAGGAGGAGGAGATGGACATGCAAGAGAAAGGGCTTTTGGTGTTTCACCACCATTACCTGTCCTACCCGATGCCCTCCCCGAGTGCCCTGCTGCCCTGGCCGGCCCCCTTCTTCCCTGGCCCCTTCTTCCCCACTCCCGCGTGTCAGCCCCACTTGCAGGATGCGCCCAGGATTCAGCACTGGCCTCCTGCCTCCAGGGAAAGGGAGGCGTAAGTGAGGCTGGGTGCTGCCAGGCTTCTGCTCTGGGGCCAGGCTGGAAGAGCTGTGCAGGGGCTGCTGGCCAGTGGAGATAACTTGTGGGTGAAACCCCAGAGGCCACCCCAGGCCTCTGATGGTGCCTTTTTCTCTCCCCCATCTCAGGAGGGCTGTGCCCCCACCCCCACCCCCCAGTGCCACAGGGACTGTGGGCGCTGATGTACCGCCGGCTTCAGGTAGGCTGGGGTGGGGGGCAGCGGGGCCCAGGCCTGGGAGTGAATCAGGAGGCCAGGAGGGCCCGGGTGCCCTCCAGCCGGGGTTGGGGGTTTCCTACCATCACTGCTGCAGGCAACTGGCCTGTCCCCCTCCCTTTTCCTCTTTGGGGTCCACTGAGGCAGGAAGGAGTCAAGATGAGGCTGCTGTTTCCCCAGACTACTATGATGCCGAGAGCCTCCTGTGAGGACAGACGCTGGCCCGGAGACCTGCACCAGCTTCGCGCTCCGTGGGCGCGATACAGCCGTGGGCCCCTCCTGCACCTCCCTCTCCTCCTCTGTGCCCATGGCTGTCGGTCCTTCTCATTCCCTCAGCCTCAGCCAGGCCCTCTTCTCCTGGGGAATCAGTCCCTGCTCCACCCCCAGGAGTCGCTGGATGGGCCTGATCTGTGCCATGGTGTCAGAGCTCAGGCAGCACCCAGGCCCTTGAAGCCACAGTAGCCGCCTCTGCCTCACCGCTTCCCACCTGGAGCAGGGGGAGGCCTGGGAACACAGCCCCCGCCCTCTCTCCCTCACCCCTCTCTCTGGGATGATGAAGTCTCCTTCCAGCCTAGTAATAGAGCCAGACGGGAGTGGGGGTTGCTTCTGTTTTCCACAGCTTTGAAGGCCCCTTGGAGGTGGCTGGAGGGGCCCAGAGTAGTGGGGGAGACCTGGGCCCCCACCCCTCGCCCCAGGAAGCGGTTCTGTTGGCAGAAAGGAGAGGTCAGAACTTTGTCCTGCTGTGGCCAGAGGTCTCCTGGGGCCAGAACACAGTGTCCTCTGCCTGCCGGGCCAGGGTGTTTTCCCCACCCTCCCTCAGTAGGAATGAGCTACTTAGGCCAGATGGGGGCCTGGGTGGGAAGGGAGGCATCTGGGGAAAGGGGTCCCCCTGTGGTGGCTCCCCTCCCTGGCTGTTGTCATCCCTGGAGGAGACACTGTGGGCACAGGCTCAGTCCAGGAGTGTGTATTCAGGCTAGAAAAGGCGATGTCCCTAGAGTCCTCTGCTGCCTGTCACAGTCCTTCGCCCAGAGCTGGACCTCAACTCTGAGGAGCCACACTGAGTTCCAGTGGCCACCATGGCGGTAGCCACGCCACTCATGCCTGCTATGCCCAGAAGGCCTGAGGCAGCCTCCTCCAAGCTGCTCGCACCCTGTAGGTGCCTGTCCGCCGCTGGCGCCAGTGCTGGCTGATGATGAAGCAGAGTAGGACGGATGTCACAAACAGGAACAGCAGTGCTGACACCACCGAGATGATGATGATCATCTGGCTGTCCGGGACGGGCTCTGGGGATGGAAGGGCAAGGGTCTTAGACGTCCAGTGATCCCAGGTACCAGGGACCAAAAGAGAGTGGAAGTCGACCCCCTACCTGGCCCCCAGCCCCTGCCGCCCGCTCATCCATCCTGCAGTCACCCCAGGTTGTAGAGATGAGTGGCGAATAGTGTCTGCATTAAAATTATTATCTGGAAGAAAGGTGGCCCTGGGCTCAGGCTACCAGCGGACTTCTGTGAGACTGCAAGGGCAGATGTCCCCTTGTCAGCAGCCCTGGGACCAGTGTATAGCTGCTGGACACCATGGCCTGGAGGGTGGCATGGTCCCAGCCAAGCCCCTTCTCAGGCAGAGCTGAGTGAGTTCATGCCAAGCTCCCTGAGGACAGGGAATGTGCCGGCCATGCAGAGCCACCAAACAGCAGAGCTCTGGGGACCTCGGGGGGCAGTCAGGTCAAACTTCTCATTGTAGAGAGAAGCCAAGGCCAGGAAGAGCGGTCAAGGCCATGGGCTCCATGGTGGCCAAGGAACTAGTTGAGCTGTCCTGACCTCTGGAACTGTTGGGGCCCAAGCTAGGGATGCAGAGAGAACTTGGGGGAAGAGGGAGTAAGAGGGAAGCCTCGGGGCAAAGGGTGGGGGCCTGGGTGTGCTTCCCAAGTCGGGCTCGAGGCTTTTCTTCCCCCACAGGGCTGAGAGTGCCTTCTCACTCCCCCTCCATCCGTGGAGCCCCCTCACCATAGATAATCAGCATCTGCGGTTCTGAGTGTTTGTGAAAGATGTCGCCACCGCGAGACAGCAAGTCCAGCACGGCCAGGCAGGAGAAGTTGCGGTGACGGTCCTCTCTGTGAGCCGTGCTGTTGAATGTGGCTGTGGCCTCCTGCAGGGCAGGGGCTCCCTTCCCGAAGGTCTGACTGTGCAGAGTCTCATTGCCACGGAACAGGAAGAGGGTGAGGCTGTCCAGGGGCTCCACGGCGGGCACCCTGCACTCAATGGTGAAGGACTTGCCCACGGTCACCCACGTGGGCTGCAGCGTCAGGATGACCTGCGTTGGAGGCTCTGCAGGGGACAAAGGAGGGAGGTCCGGTCAGGATGGGGGTGTTGTTCCAGCAGCCTCCCGGCCAGGGCCATCTCCTGTCACTGTGGTATGCCACGGTTTGGGAGGAGGAGGCCTGGGCCTCTCCAGTGCAGAGGCAGAGGGCGGCAGTTGAGGACGAAGCCTGGACTGGGTGGTAGTTTCACAGACATGATGGTTTCGGGTGACCAGGCATTCACGAGGACAAGGTTCAGAAATTGTACAGCCAGCTGGAAAGACATGAAAGTTTGCACCTGTCTCCCTCTCCTTCAGAAACGAAATACAAATTTCAAAAATTAAACAGTTAGGTGATGACGTTGAGAGAGTCTTAGATGGGAGTGCTCATTGGAACTGGGCACTCAAGGAGCTGAGCTGTGACGTGAGGTTCCATTCCTCACTTAGGGGCTGGGACCAGAGCCAGACCTGCCCAGGTTCTCCAGCGTCAGGGTCATGGTCACCATGATTCCTCACCTATGAAACCACCTGAGGGGCTACCCTGGATTCCCTTTTGAACTAGAATACTTCACCCCCACTCACCCCACCTCCCACCCTGGGAGAATTATGTTGGATTTAAGACATCTTTCTATTCATTGGTCCACTGCAGCTGATGATGGAATGGACCCAGGTGACACCCTTAGAGCCTAGACGTACTATCCCGGCCCATCTGGAAGTTTTCATGGCTCATGTGCAGGTGTGTGATAGCCACAGATTTGCCATGGGCCCTAAGGGGAAGATAAAAACCCTGGGTGACACCTCAACCCTCTCATCATGAGGTGGATGGAGCCAGCACTCTGGATGGTGACCCCAACTACTTGGCATAAGACATGGGGTGCTCAGGTGACTCAGCTATGTTGGGAAATGACTTCTGGATTTGGCTAAGCCTTGGTTAGATTGTCCTCCCCTAAGCAAGACTCAAAACTTGGGTTGTCTGCTTCTGAGATGCCACTGGGCTCAAGGCATCCAACCAAGGATCTTGTTCCTTGTCACCACAGGAGCTCAGGGAGGTGGGGCCCACCACGATAGTGCCCATGAGTGGGCACAGAGGGGCTCCGTGTGCATTCAGTAGACAGAGGATCTGCCCCAGGGGAGGGGAGGGCCCCGGGCACAGCCACTCACGGTACACGCTGACGTTGAAACTCGATGACACCTGCTCCCCGGAGCAGATGAAGTAGCAGTGGAAGACCGTGTCCTGGGAGATGTCTGAGATCAAGTAATGTTTCCACTGAGTCTGCTCGGCCAACACAGTCTTATTTAGAGGGGTCTCCAGACCACCCATTTCAGGCTGGTTACAGGTGGTGCTGCAGTTGACCTCGAGGGACCCCTTGGGCTTAACCATCAGCTTCTTTGGTCTCACATGTACCTTGAATGCCTTCTCACCGGACCCTGGAAGACCAGAAACACTGGGCAGTGGTTGTCCCCCCACTCCCTCCAGTGGAGCTGTCCACCAAGGCAGTCTGGCTCCTGAGTCAGGGGCTCAAGAGGAAAGGCCGTGGGGGTCCCAGCTGCTACTCACCCCTCGTCAGGTGTCATGGCCCCAGCTAGACCAGGGGGCCACCCCCCAGTTGACACCCCATCTCTGGCTCTCCTTCCTTCAGCCCCCCAGCTGGCACCCCGCCTCTGGCTCTCCTACCTCCAGCCCATCTGCCCATCAGCTCCAGATGAGTCTTCTTCAGGCTGCGCTCCATCTTTGTGGAGCAGGGTTCCACTGATCTTTAAGGTCAGCCCGAATGTCCCCTGCACCACGAAGCCCTCCCTGTTTCCTCTGTGGCCCTCCCTCCTTTTCTGTCTTCCATAAACAGTTTTTGAACACCTGCTTTGTTCAAAGCAGCAGGCTCTGGGGATACAGCAATGATCAAAGCAGACCCAATGCTGCCCAGGCGGGGCTCCAGCGAACAGTGACAGGCAGAGCACCCAGCTGGTCAGATGGCGGGAAAGCTCCAGAAAGGGAGCTTAATTAGTGTGTGCCAAGAAGGCCTCACCCAGAAGGTGACACGTGGGCAAAGGCATGCAGGGGCGTGGCACGCCCTGCAGTGGTTCTGGGGAAGGGAGGCTGCAGTGCAGAGGCAGGGCAGGAAGATCACTGGAGCCCAGGAGTTGGAAGCTACAGCAAGCTATGATCACAGCCTGCACTCCAGCCTAGACAACAGAGCAGGAACCTGTCTATAATCAAAATAAAAAATAAACATTTAAAAAGCCTCCGCAGGCTGGGTGTGGTGGCTCATGCCTATAATCCCAGCAATTTGGGAGACCAAGGTAGGTGGATCACTTGAGTCCAGGAGTTCGAAACCAGATCCCCCATCTCTATAAAAAAAAAATACAAAAGTTTGCTGGGCGTGGTGGCTCTCACCTGTGACCCTGACTACTCAGGAGGCTGAGGTGGGAGGATCACCTGAGCCCAGGGAGGTACAGTGAGCCATAATCATACAACTGTACTCCAGCCTGGGTGATAGATGGAGACCCTGTCTTAAAAAAAAAAAAAACACACAACCTCAGCAACTTTTGGGCCATCTCTTCTACCTGAAGCCACAGGAAACGGGGCACCCCCACCCTCTCAGCTGGCATGTGCCAAATCAGGAGCCGCAGGAACCTGGCTTACCTGGACAGCAGACCAGGGCAAAGAGGGCCAGGGTCAGGCTCAGGGTCAGGGTCCCGCAACTGAAAGAGAACATTTCTGGTGGTGTCCGCGGGCTCACAGGGACCAGCCAAGGGCTGCCTGGAGGGAGACGGAGGGCGCAGGTCAGAGTGCAGGTCTGAGCCACAGCTCAAAATCCCCAGCCTTCTGCAAACTGGTGACTGCATTTCCTCTCATTATCTGAGAGGTCTTTGGGAAGCCACGTGCACCAGCCGGTTCTAGGACCCCGGGCCTCTGAGAATCCAGGCAGAGGAAGCTGGGAAGCTGCTGATAAGCAGGGCAGAACCCAGTCCTCCCCGCTGGTTCCTTTGCAAGGGGCGGGGCAGGCCACGGGTGCACACATGCCTGTGTGTGAGACACGTACACACAGGACTCTGGCGTACTGTGTGTGCACAGGGGAGAGTCAGGCCTATGAACCCCAAATCCCATGAAATCCATTGCTGGAGTCACCCCTGGGTGGTGACCATCCAAAGGCAGGACCTGTCCAGGACATGCAGTCACCATAGCAAAAGGGGACAGTGACTTGGGCTTTTCTAAGGAACCCTGGACAGGAATTGGAGCTTCTCCTGCTAAATGCCCGGTGTAAGTCTGCATAAACCTTAACATTCCACTCAGTTTTCAACCTAAACTTGACCTTGACCCAGCTCATTCAGGGCCAGCTTGAGGCCCAGAGCCTCAGGAAATGCATCTCATAATAGTCCCCAGCAATCCAGGCACAGATGGAGAATGGGGGTCAGTCTAGCTACAGCCACACCCCCAAACCGTGACCTCCATCTTCTGACCTGCCTGATGTCCTCCATCCTCTCCCTCCCTCCAGGAGGGATCCTTGGGCTGGGGGTGTTGGGGCCTGAGATGTTTCAGTATATTCCTAGGGAGGAAGCCCCTGAAGCAGTGAGCAGGTAAGGCACGGATTTCAATGGACAAGAGGACCTTCCTGGGGGATTGCCACACATTCTCATCCCCCAGTTCTGCCTAAGACCCCTTGCAATCAGGAAGGGGAAGAGCATGTCTTCTTGCTTTCTCAGGGGAACCCGAGATGGAGCCTTTCCAAAGGGATGCCCCAGAATCCTCAAGACTTTGGCCAAGCTCTGTTCCCAGATTGGGAGGGCAGGGTGAGGTCCTGCCCTTCCCTCACTGCTGAGGCCAAAGGCGGTTACTCCTGTGCACAGCCATCAAGCACTGCCATTGTCAGCCTGGACCCAGGAATGTCCCTGGACAGGGCACTGGACTTAGGAATGATGCAGGCAGGAAGGGGCGGGACCTGGGGACAGCAGAGAAAAGGAGAACAGGGTGGAGCTGCACCCCCAGCCTGGAGGAATCTGATCCCATGCCAGCAAAGTACTGAGAGTAGGAACCCTCCCTGAAAATCAAGCCAGGGGCTGTGGAGGTGGTTCCAGGGGCTGGGACAGCAGGATGGGAGTGGGGGCATTGCTGTAGTGGAGACTCTGTGTCCTCCACTGAGTCAGAATCATAATAATAATAATAAACAAAACAACAGCAATAATAATAACACTCACTTACTACAGGTGGGACACTGTCATAAGCACTCTATAAATATTAACCAATTAACCCCAACTCTGTGAGGCAGGTACTGTTAATGTCCCCATCTTACAGATGGGGAAACTGAGGCATGGCAAGTTTAAATGACTTTGTTCAAGGTCACATACCCAGGAAAAAGTGAAGTCACCATGAATGATAGCCTGCCATGGTGACCGTCAAAGCCCACCTGAGCAGGTGCAAGAGGAGTGGTGGGAGCTGGACTCCCAGGAGACCCTTAAGAGGGAAAAGCAACACAGCAGAGGAAGGTTCTGGGGCCTTTCTCATCGTGAGGGGCTGGGGGGAGGGAGGTAATCCACACCTGGAGTGCTCCAAACAGCTTCTGGAAGGCACAGTGCTTGGGAATCCTACCTGCACAGACAGTGGGGTTGGCATGATTCCCTCTCCAAGCAAGGCCTCTGCAGCCCAGCGTCCTCCCTTGAACCCACAGGCCCCAGTTCCAACCCCCACCTCCTCCTGTAATGTCTCCCATCCTTCCGGGGCAGGCCCTGCTTGGCTGGGACATACTGGGCATGTGACCATCTATTTGATAGAAATATTTACTGCATTCTAACCATTGACACATCAACCTCCCTCTCCCCCACACTGGCCTGTCAACCATGAGGGCAAAAACTGAAACTCATGGACTGGTAAATCCATCCAGTGTAGGACACTGCCTGCCACACAGTAGCTGCTTCATCACTCCTGGATTGGGGGTGGATGGATGCATGGACTGGTGAACGAATGAAAAAGTCTGTCCTAAACAAGCTGGGGTTGTTTAGGGCGAAGGCTGTGTTTATTTTTAGGTCCTAAGCATCTTTTGGTTTTGTTTGCCCAGCATCTCCTTCCTGCTACTGCTGAAGTCTCTGCTCCCCAAGGCTACAGGCTGACCTGATAATGGAAACAAGGCCAATCATGGTACCTTACTCCTCGAGAAGGGGCACGTTGAGTCAGGCGTGAGCAGAGGTTTTCCTAGGACTTTCTGAACCACAGCCGATAGGAACAAGCCCTTCCCTTTCGGGTCCTAATGCTAGACGCACACGAGCCAGCAGCTATGAGTGCCCATGCCCCACAAGTGAAGAAGCTGAAAGGAAGAAAAGTGAACTCAGTGCGGAAGATACCCTTAATCCTAGCTGGAAGGTGATCCAGAATTGCTGCGGGGAAAGTACCGGCTGTGAGGGAAGGGGTGGACTCTGGTGGGTGGCGGTCTGGGTTAGGTGGCCAGCAATGACTCTGTGTCCACTCAGGACTCGTGTTGTAGAAGTGAAAGAACCTGGGAGGCAGAGATTGCAGTGAGCTAAGATCATGCCACTGCACTCCAGTCTGGGTGACAGAGTGAGACTCCATCTCAAAAGAAAAAAAAAAGAAGAAAAAAGAAGTCTGAAATCAATATCCAACTTATACTAAGCAGTACAAAAGTTAGACAGAACTAAACCCAAAAGTGACATGTAAGGAACTAAAGATAAGAGCAATCAATCAATCAATCCAACAAAATATACAAAACAAAGTAAACCCCAAAGTAAAAACAAAAGGTAAAAACAAAGATAAGAACAGAAGCCAATCAAATAGAAAACAAAGCCATGGTAGGGAAAAGCTTAAAACCAAGTTAGTTTTGTAAAACAACAAAAAAACCTAATCAAGTGTGGGTGAGGTGGCTCACGCCTATAATCCTAGCACTTTGGGAGGTCGAGGCAGAAGGATCACCTGAGCTCAGGGATTCGAGGCCAGCCTGGGCAACAGAGACATTGTCTCTCTATTAAAATAAAAAATGTTTTCACAAAAACCCTTCCCCACAAAACTCAATAGAATAGGCAAGTCTCCAGTGAAATCATACACAAAGAAGGAGAAGGTCTGTGCAAAAATGATTAGGAACGTAAATGGAAACATCAGCATGAGATTAGGAAGACAGTTATACGAAATCATAGAAACAGAAAATAGAGCAGCAGTTGCCAGGGACTGTGGGGGAGGGGAAATGAGAGTCCTGTAAATGGGTTTAGTTTCGGTTTTGCAAGATGACAGAGTTCTGGAGATGGGTTGGGAAACAATGAAAACATACGTAACATTAATTACAGAGGTGTACACTTAAAAGTGGTTAATTTGGTACACTTTAGGTTATATATATTTTACCACAGTGAAAAATAAAGAAGATGTAAATAAGTTATGCCACAACATAGGAATCAAAGTAGATCAAGTTTCAGAAAAATATAACTTAACAAACTTATTTAAGAAGAAATAAAAAGTCTAAATGGTTCTATAACTATTAAAGAAATTGAATCAGGCCGGACATAATGGGTCATACCTGTAATCCCAGCACTTTGAAAGGTGAGGTGGGAGGATCCCTTGAGCCCAAGAGTTCGAGACCAGCCTGGGCAACATGACAAAACCTCATCTCTACAAAAAATACAAAAATTAACCAGGTGCGGTGGCACGCACCTGTAGACACAACTACTTGGGAGGCTGAGTTAGGAGGATGAATTGAGCCTGGGAGGTTGATGTTGCAGTAAGTTAAGATTATGCCACTGATCTCCAGCCTGGGTAACGAAGTGACATCCTGTCTTCTAGAGAAGAGAAAAGAAAAAAAAAAGGAAAGAACTTGAATCAGCAATTTAAAGATCTTCCCTTAAAGAAAATACCAGGTCTAGATGGTTTTTGCAGAAGTTCAAGTAAGGGTAACTCTTTTTTTTTTTAAAAAATGTATATATTAGTATTTAGTTTTGCTTTAGAAATGGAGTTTTGCTATATTGCCCAGGCTAGTCTTGAACTCTTGGGCTCAAGAGATCCTCCTGCCTCAGCCTCTCGAGTAACTGGGACTATAGGAGCACAGCGCTGTGCCTGGTTAGGAATTCTAATTTTATAAAAACTCCTTCTGAGAATGGAGAAAATAAAAACATTCATTCTTTCCATGAGGCCAGTGTAAACTTAGTATCTAAACAAGACAAGTACAGGCAGAGAAGGCAACATCAGAGCCAGTTTTACCCATGATTATAAATGCAACAGTTATAAGAAAAATACTAGTAAACCAAATCTGGCAGTGTAAAAAAAAAAAAAAAAAAAATCACGTCCTAGTTGGCGTTATCTCAGGTATGCAAAGATGGTTTAACAACAGAAGAAATGTTTTAAACATTATTTATTATGTTGGTGCTCTGTGTCACATCACTTCTGCTCTCTGCCGATTTCGCTGTTCCTACAGTAGATAATTTTGTGCAAGCCTAGACTCCCCTGAAGCTGCCAGTACCCCTCCACCTACCCCCAAACTTAGACCAGGCTTCTTTTGCTTGTTGCCTCACGGCCTTCTTCAATGCTTTAGGAACAATTTACTTGCCAGCTAGTGATTCCCAGAAGTGTAGGAGAGTTAAGGACCCTAGAATGCGATCCTCACCCAAAGGGGGAACAGGAGCCAGTGGATATACTTTCCAAACTCTTCCTTGCCAGTAGGCAATTCTGGGAGACCTCCTGTAGTCTTATCAGAGGTCTCAAAACAAGCTTCTGATGCCTACTCCTTTAATTGGGCCTTTCCTTCCTTCTGGTCTCGTTTTCCCTGCTCCTTCACTCCTGCTTCCTGGAATCAGCTCTCAGATAACCTATCTGAACCTAAGTCCTTGCTCCAGCCTCTGCTTTGGAACAAAGAATTCTGCTTGAGAGCAAAAGGAGTCCAAACTAAAACTACATTAACAGATTTAAAAAGAAAAAACATATGATAAACTCAACAGATTAAAAAAATTGACAACATTCAACACCCTTTTATGATACAAGCTCTTAGCAAATTAGAAGAAAATGTCCTTAACCTGATAAAGAACACTTACATAAAACTTACATATTGTTTTCAGTAAGTAAATCTTAGGAGAATTTCCTTTAAAATCAGGAACAATGATGCCCGTGATTTCTGCTTCTATTTAACGTTATACCAAAGGTCTTATACATTGCAGTGAAAGGAAAGGAAAAAGGAAAAGGAAGGAAAAAGGGTAGCAAAGGGAAGGGGAGGGAAGGAGAGGGGAGGCGATGGGGGGAAGGGAGAGAGGGGAAGAAAAGGGAAGGGGGGAGGGGAGGGAAGGGAAGGGAAAGAGAGGGGAGGGGAAGGGGGAGGGGAGGGAAGGGCAGGGTAGGACACAGCAGGGCAGGGTGGAAGGAGGGAGCGAGGGAGGAGGGGAAGGATGAACAAAACTATCAATATTTGTATAGGGTATGACTACCTAGGTCAAAAATCCAAAAGAATCATCAGGCAAGTGATTCAAAGTAATAAGATATTTTAGCAAGGCAACTAGCTAAAAGATCAATTTTCAAAAATCGGTTGCTTTTGTATATATCAGTAACATACAAAAAAACAATTTTAAAAATACATCATTTACAACAGTCAAAAAAGTACAGCAACAAAGCTAACAAGACCTAGAACTATAAGACCTACAGTAAGAAAATTATAATACTTTATTAAAAAGTATTAAAGACAATCTAAATAAATGGAGAGATAACACATGTTCATGGATAAGAAATTCAGTATTATAAAGATGTAAACTCTCTAACTGATATACAGAGTCAATGAAATTCCAACTAACTTCAATAGAGTTTTTCATGGAAACTGAAAGCCGATACTAAAGTTTTTATGGAAGAACAAAAAAATCAAGACACCCCTAAAGAAATTGAATAACATGAGGGATTTGCTCTGCTAGATATTAAGACTTTCTGTAAAAGTGGTATAGTTATAGGCAAAGTAATTTATGGAACAGAATAAAGAGCCCAGAAATACACTGATGCTTGTATGAAACTTTGATGCATGACAAAGGTGACACAGATCACCAGGTAGAAGAAGGGTCTATTAAATGACACTGGATCAGTTGATTAACCATATGGAGAAAAAGGAGAAAAATGTATCCCTATCTCACACCAAATATAGAAATCAATTCCATTTAGATTAAGGATTTATATGTGAAAGAAAATCTTTATAAGAAAATATAGGAGAGTATTTCCATGTTCTTGGGGCCAGACCTCAAAATTGCCAATCATAAAATAAACAATTAGTAACTTTGACTAAGACACAAAGAAATATTTCAAAGAAAAGGAAACATGTCTAAACAAAAAGATTCTTTAACTCGAGGGTAGCCAGGGAAATTAAAAAATTACAATGGGACAGATACTATTTTATGTGTATTAGATTGGCAAAAGTTACATCTGGCAAGACCAATTGTTGGAGAGGCCATAGGTCAACAGGCACCCTTATAACTCCTGATAAGAGTGTATATTGGTCGTCTCGGAGATAATTAGGCATTATCTTGTAAACTTAATATTCTTTTTTTTTTTAGATGGAATTTCACTCTTGTTGCCCAGGCTGGAGTGCAATGGCGCAATCTCAGCTCACAGCTACCTCTGCCTCCCAGGTTCAAGCGATTCTCCTGCCTTAGCCTCCTGAGTAGCTGGGATTATAGGCATGCACTGCCATGCCTGGCTAATTTTATCTTTTTAGTAGAGAAGAGGTTTCTCTATGTTGGTCAGGCTGATCTCGAACTCTCTACCTTAGGTGATCTGCCTGCCTCAGCCTCCCAAAGTGCTGGGATTACAGGCATGAGCCACCGCACTGGCCTAATTTTTGTATTTTTAGTAGAGATGGGGTTTCACCAGGTTAACAAGGCTACTCTCGAATTCCTGACCTCACGTGATCCACCCACCTCAGCCCCCTAAGGTGTTGGGATAACAGGCCTGAGCCACCGCCCCCGGCCACTGAATATTCTTAAACCCTAAAATTCACAGTTCCATTCTTAGATGTATGCCCTAGAAACACTGTCACACTAAGAACCAGACATGTCCTTGTGTTTACTTCTTACTACCTGTGTGAGCAAAACATTTAATCTTAGCACACTATAGCCTCGAACTCCCAGCCTCCCAGTTAGTTGAGACTACAGTCTTGAACCGCTGCCCCCGGCTATGCCTATTTATTTTATGAAACAGTTATATAGCAATACCATGTGCTAGGCACTGTTATAAATGCTTTAAAATATTAACTTATTTATTTAATCTGTGCAAAAACTCAAAGATACTATTATTGATTCCATTTTACAGATGAGGAAATTGAGGCACAGAAAGATTAAGTGTTTTGCTGTTATTATTTTTGTAAAATTTACTAGGTAACACATAAAAAAGCATATGTAGCCAGGCATGGTGATTCACACCTATAATCCCAGAACTTTGGGAAGGTGAGGCGGGCAGATCACCTGAGGTCAGGAGTTCAAGACCAGCCTGACCAACATGGAAAAACCCCATCTCTACTAAAAATACAAAATTAGCCAGGCGTGGTGGTGCATGTTTGTAATCCCACTTACTCGGGAGGCTGACGCAGGTGAGTCACTTGAACCTGGGAGGCAGAAGTTGCGGTGAGCCAAGATCGCACCACGGCACTCCAGCCTGGACCACAAGAGCAAGATTCTGCCTCAAAGGGAAAAAAAAGCATATGTAACATACATATACATCATACTGCACAGTAATATACCAAACACCCCTGAAGCTGCCACTCAACACAAGGATGGAACATCACCAAATTGCAAATACCTCTTATCTACTTTTATGCTACTTGCCTCCCACCCACAGCCACTCTCTGGAATTTTGTGTTTATTGTTCTCTTGATTATTTAAAAGTGTTTTATTGCATATGCATATCTATGTATTTATTTACTAAGATGGGGTCAAAATATATGTTTTTGTATTTTTAGTAGAGACAGGGTTTGGCCGGGTGCGGTGGCTCATGCCTGTAATCCTAGCACTTTGGGAGGCCAAGATGGGTGGATCACCTGAGGTCAGGAGTTCAAGACCAGCCTGGCCATCATGGTGAAACCCCATCTTATTTATAAAGAAAAAAAAAATGAATAAAAAAAGAACCAAAAGAAGAGTCAGAGTTTCCCCATGTTGGTCAGGCTGGTCTCGAACTCCCAAGAGTTATTTTACAAAAACAATAACAGGGAAAAAGGACCTCTCTACATGCCTAGAAAGAGGAGACTTTATGGGAATGTGAGCCATGGGTTAGGAAAGACCCCCTTGAACCGAGGTAGGTGGGACGTGACTGACTGGGATTCATTATGCACCGGGAGAATGCAATTATTCGTCTGCCGGGGAGAATGGGGACTGTTGCTTCCCCTGTGCCTCAGCTTATCATCGCCCACGTGGGCCCCCAAATCAGGAGGCAGCCCCACATTTCTGCATCGGCCACCCAGATGGCAGAGCAGGAGAGGGAGGAGCGAAGGAAGACAAAACAGGAGAGGCGCACCAGGGCACCTGTGTGAGCTCGGAGACTCACCAGGGCAGGAGCTTCATGGAGCTCGGGATGTGGAGCCAGAGGAGCACTAGGGATCCCCGGCCCCTACACTTACCAGGGGAAGACTGAGGCCCAGAGAGGGGAACGGACTGGAACTCAGACCTTGACACTGCCAAAATTCTTCCCATACATCCAAGCTTCATTGGAGGGAAAGTGAGAAGCTTGACCTTACCCCTGTGGGCTCCAATGACAGCAGCTCCGGAATCCCCGGCAGGAAATTAGTGACAAGGTAACAAGGTGCACATTTCACAGCTGCCCAGTTCAGGGCTTGTTATTCAGGCTTCTCCTCCCCCCACCAGAAGTGACGCGCTTCCTGTGCCCGGGTTCCCTCCTAAACTAGCCTCATTTAGCTCAACTCCTGCCCCACCTTTTTTTTTAACTGTGGTAAAATTTACACAACGACATTTACCATTTTAATTTTTTTTTTTATATACTGAGTCTCAGTCACCCAGGCTGGAGTGCAGTGGTGCGATCTCAGCTCACTGAACCTCCAAGGTTCACGTGGTTCTCATGCCTCAGCCCACGGACTAACTGGGACTACAGGTGCCTGCCACCATGCCTGGCTAGTTTTTGTATTTTTAGTAGAGACGGGGTTTTACCATGTTGGCCAGGCTGGTTTCAAACTCCTGACCTCAAGTGATCTGCCTGCCTTGGCCTCCCAAAGTGCTGGGATTACAGGCGAGAGTCAGTGGGCCTGGCCAATCCTTTGTTGTTTTTAAGACAGTCTTGCTTTTGTCACCCAGGCTGGAGTGCAGTGCCACTATCACAGTTCCCTGCAGGCTCCAACTTCTGAGGAGGGAGCTCAAGTGACCCTCCCTCTTCAGCCTCCCAAGTGACTGGGACCACAAGTGTGCAGCCACTAGGCTCAGCTCATTTCTGTAGTTCTTGCAGAGGCGGAGTCTTGCTTATGTTACCCAGCCTGGTCTCAAACTCTTGAGTTCAAGCAATGCTTCCACCTCAGCCTCCCAAATGCTGGGAATGAGCCACCATGCTCAGTCCATTTTAATTATTTTTAAGTGCACAGTCTGGGGCACTAAGTACATTCAAACTGTTCTACAATCATCACCACCATCCGTCTCTGGAGCGTTTTCTTTTTCTTTTCTTTTTTTTTTTTTGAGACGGAGTTTCACTTTGTTGCCCAGGCTGGAGTGCAGTGGCGTAATCTTGGCTCACTGTAACCTCTGCCTCCCGCATTCAAGTGATTCTCCTGCCTCAGCTTCCTGAGTAGCTGGGATTACAGGCACACACCACCTGGCTAATTTTTTATTTTTAGTAGAGATGGGGTTTCCCCATGTTGGCCAGGCTGATCTCGAACTCCTGACCTCAAGTGATCTGCCCTCCTTGGCCTCCCAAAATGCTGGGATTACAGGCATGAACCACTGCACTTGGCCAGAACTGCCTTGCTTTTGAAGGCTGAGTAATACCCTATTGTGCGTGTGCCACATTCTGTTCATCCATTCACATGTTGACGGACACCTGCGTTGCTTCCACCTCTGCCTATTGTGAATAGTGCTTCTATCAACAGGGTTGTACAAATACCTGTCCGAGACCCTGCCTTCAATTCTCTGGAGTATGTACCCAGAAGTGGAAATGCTGGATCATAATGGTAAAATATACACAACAAAATTTACCATTTTAATCTATTTTCTTTTGTTTATTATTATTATTTTTGGGCTTGGTAGCTCACACTTGTAAATCCAGTACTTTGGGAGGCTGAGGTGGTAGGATTGTTTGAGCCTAGGACTTCAAGACCAGCCTGGGAAACAAAGTGAGACCCATCTTTACAATAAATAAATAAATAAAAAGGTAATTTTGTTTAATTTTTGAGGACTCGCCATCCTGTTTTCCTTACTCCTTCCTTCGATGTGCCATTTCTATATTCACTGGGGCCTTCTGTGAATGAAGCAGTTCCAGGACAAGCTGCCTTCTGGTCCCCGATGTGACAGGCTGAGATCACAGAGGTGAGCCTTCCCTGGCTGTGACGTGTCACTCCACAAAAGCCTCTTATTAGAGACTGAGAGCCAGCACTTCCTCCAATCTTATCAGACCTCGCCTAGCAATTTTAGAATAATTGCTCTAAAAGAGTGACTTTGTACAAGCAAGCAGAAAGTATGAACGCTGGCCATTTATGCAACTTTTAGCAATCCATGTGCTAGATCCACCCAGAACTTGCAGACGACCCTGTGTACCCACTTTGAGAGCTGCACACACAGTCCTGCTGTTGAGACCACTTTCCATACTTCCTCAGGCATCATTCAGGCCAAATCCCACTCTGCAAACCTCCTCCCTCAACTTCATGGCTTCTGAGCAGATCACTTTCCATTTCCAATTATTTATTTTTCTTCCTTGCTTGGTTTCTGGCACATTCCTCTTGGAACTGCCAAGATCATGCTAAGTAAATATTTTTGAATGTAAGCCAGCGGCTTGGTCTTATGAGACACATATTTTATAGCAAGGGTTCTCAAACTTGAATGTGTGTGAGGATCACTGGGGGGCTTGCTGCAACAGCCCACTGGGCCCCATCCCTAGAGTTCTGAGCAGTAGGTCTGGAGGGAGGCCTGAGGATTTTCTGCATTTCTAACAAGTTCCCAGGTAATGCTGCTGCTGGTGGTACCAGCATCACCTGGGAACTTCATAGAAATGAGGACCACACTGTTTTAGCAGAATGAGAAAGTGTTCTCAATTTACATAGTACTCAGCTAATCAAAACCACAAGTAGAAACCAGAGGAATCACTGGCCTATAGACTAACAGATTGTGAGCTCAGTCTGGCAGCGTGGAATCATAAGGATCTGTGTCTGGATCTCTGCTGAGCCCCCTGCTGGCTGTGTGACCTTAGGCAAGTAGGGTAACCTCTCTGAGCTTTAGCTTGCTTATCCGCAAAATGAGGTAATAATAGCCAACGTTTGTGACATGCTTACGACGTATGCCACACACCGTTCTAAGCACTTTACAGGTACCATCATGATTCATCCTCATAACAAGCCTCTGAGTAGATCCTGCTGTTATTCCTCTTGCAGATGAAGAAACTGAGGTATGGTAGATTCACTGGCGAGCAGTAACTGGCACACAGCCAGCAAGCCGGGCAGCTGGAACTACACGTATAAGCTTTCATACTAGAAAGCCCCTCTCGCCCCCTTCGGATCCCCCACTGAAGGGCTTCTGGGAGGAAAGCATGATGATTTGTAAAACACTGGCCGATAGCGTGGTACACAGAAGCGCTCAAAAGAGTTTGTGGTTACTGTGAGTTGGCGCCCGGATGTGCACCTATCTGTGTCCTTGTAGTCTGTGCCCAAGGACACCCCAGCACGTGTGTTGACAACTGCACAGACCCACAGAATATCAGACCCCAAGATCATGCCAGGAGGGGGCTGTCCATATTATATGTTCATTCTTAGATCTTTGGATGGCACCAGGTTGTGAATATGCATCACAGAAAAGTTATCGGCGAGTGAGGAATTGAGTTGTTTACAAAACCAAGCCCTTGCCTTCTTCCTAGACCTCAGCCTCATCTCATCAGCGCCCCCTGCGGAGTAGGAGGCCGTGGACATGCTGAATGCTGAAGCTCGAGAGGATCAGAGATTGCACCGTGCACCACCTAGTGGCCAAAGTGAGCAGGTACCCTAAAAGGCACGACGCCCTGTAATCTGCGGTAAATCATATTCCTTGCGATTCCGCAATCACAAGTAGATTTGGAATGGGCTGGCATCCTGAGACAGTATTTATAAGGAGGACGGTCTATGTAGATGCACTAATTTGAGGGAGGGAGAGGCTGGGAGGGTCTCTGCAGAGAAGAGATGTCTTCTCTCTGGAAATCTTGGACTTGAAGGTACCTGCCAGCTGCCATTTTTCTTGCTCTAAGCTTTACTGCAAAGGAGAGAATAAAACTGAGATGCCTTACTAGGAACTCAGGTGGGAAAATAAATGGTTTCCTTAGGAAAGATGCCAGAGGCAGTGAGCTGAGGCAAAGTCCAAGAGAGTTGAGGTGTGTGTGTTTTTTGTTTGTTTGTGGACAGAGTTTTGCTCTTGTCACCCAGGCTGGAGTGCATTGGCACAATCTTGGCTCACTGCAACCTCTGCCTTCTGGATTCAAGTGATTCTCCTGCCTCAGCCTCCTGAGTAACTGGGACTACAGGAGCCTACCACCACGCCCAGCTAATTTTTGCATTTTTGGTAGAGATGGGGTTTCACCATGTTGGCCAGGCTGGTCTCGAACTCCTGACCTCAGGTGATCCACCCGCCTCAGCCTCCCAAAGTGCTGGGATTACAGGCATGAGCCACTGTGCCCAGCTTAAATGAGGTGTTGTTTTTGTTTTTTTAAATCAATTTGCTACTACCAGGCGTTTGTTTTTTAAAACGGCTGTAGTTGTATATCTTTCTGCAAATATTGCCATGTGGCATTCTGGGCAACCTGGCGTCTGACCCCCTCCTTAGGAAGTGTGCTAGGGGTGTGACTACATTCTGCTATGGAAGTGCACAGGGCCAGACACCCACTCTCCCAGCCTCCTTTTCCTGTCCCTGATCACCCATGCTTGACTGGGAATCAGGGAAGGACTACACAAAGCAGCAGAGACCAGGATGGCCTTTGCAGCTGTGTCCAGAGGTGATGGATGGCTGTGGCATCTGGAACCAGCAGGACCTTTAGTTCTGGGATGTGATCTGGCCTCCCTTCAACTCCACTGCTATGCAGACTCTCCTCTTTGCTGGCCTGAGCACTTGAGTGCCAAGGACTGCCGAACTTCTTCTGTTGGTGTCTAAAACAGCAGCAGCAGCTGATAAGGTCAAGGCCTCAGCCACCTCCTGGGGCTACTGTTACCCCTGATGAGGGAGCGGCTTCCCCCCATCAACGTCCCCATCAGAATCCAGAGGCGAGTTAGCCCACTCATATGAATAGCCCTGGGTCTCCTCAGCCTGACTTCAGCCATTCAGCTCAGCATTTCCCTTTGTTCCCAACACTCCCCATTTGTCCTCTGCAGTCTGTTTTCTTGGAGAGTTTACCCTCATTCCTCACCTCTTCACAGACCCTGCCTCTGTGTCCTTACCCCAGTGCAGCCTGGTCCTTCTCTGAGGATACCTCTCTCTCCTCGTTCATTCCTCCTGAGCTGGGGCTTCCTGTTTCTTGCTTGGGAGGACCAGAGCAGGCCCTGGGTATAGGCTGGCTCCCTATGGCTTCAGTGTTCCAGAAGGAAGCCCACCACTCTTGTGGGCTGCTCCTCAGGTGGGTGGATCACCTGAGGTCAGGAGTTTGAGACCAGCCT